TTTATTTAATGTATATGCATGTATTACTTGCATGTAGGTAAGTGCACCCATGTCATGCAATGCCCAGGAAGGTCAGAAGAGGGTGTCGAATCCCCTGGGACTGGAGTTATGGACAGTTGTTAGCTGCCATATGGGTGTGTTGGGGAACCCTGCTGTTAAGGTTGGCTCCTTTCTCAGCAGGAGCTTCCTGCCTGACTTACCTGGAAAGTGCCGCCAAGCACGGATGCTTGGCCTCATTTAAAACATGACCTTTGACATAGTTACCTGGAGTAAAACTACCCCCAATTTTTTCTATATGATAATTAGTCATTGCCAGATAGTCAGATGATAGGAGCCTACTCCCACGAGTAAATAAAGCATACTATGAGCACCTGTCAGCTGAAGCATTGGCTACTGCCTCCACACTATATTTTCCCTAACCCCCACTGAATAAATGGAGCTGTTTCACTGAATCTAGAGCTGTTTGAGTCTGGAGCTGTTTGTATCACTGAACCTGCCTCCTCGGAAGGGCTTTCTTCCCTCAGTGCTCACTGGCCATCCTGACCCCGTTCATCACTTCTGCTCCCTTTGTCCTCATGGAACAGTGGCCAATGACCCACAAGGAGAGGAAGAGACCCCACATACAAGGAACCCTGGGGATAAAGGGAAAGAAGGAGCTCAAGAGAGGTGGGACCATAGGAGAATGATATTATTAAGGGAGAAATGGGAAAAATGGGGGCACTTTAAATGGGGAAACCATGGTGGAAATGTTAGATAATACAAGAGATAAATAATGCCCAGCTAGTTTAAAAAAAAACAGAGGGAACCATATTAATTGAACAACCTACTGACAAATTGTACCTACTACCAGATCAAGAAATATATGTCTAGGCAAAATTTATCTGAGAACGTTTGGTCTTTGCCCAAGTTTTATCTACGTAGCACATGATAATTAAAAGTACCAGACTGGTAGAACTAACCTTCTTGGATGGTTAACAGCCATACTTTGAGATCTATACTAATTTGGTCAGAAGGACAATAAAGGACAGTTTTTGCTTCTTGGTCTCCTAGGTCAACTAAGTTCCAGGAGACTGCGGGCATCTCTCAAAATGTCCTGTAACTGTGGTGAGTCACCTGTCCTCTTGATCAAGGAGGCCATGGAGACCCCACCAAATAGACTTGAACCAGTGTCCAGTCTACAAAGAGGAAGGTCAACTCAGAGGAAACATTTCTTCCATGCTTCCAAGTGAAGCCAGCCAAGGTCGAGTAGGACCTTTGAGTTATCTTCACATAGATGGAACTGGTAAAAGAAAGGAGCCAGGGGCTCCTTCCAAGCCCATGTGACCCCCAAGGAACAGATCCTCAAATGACCTTAAGAGTAAAAATAAATTGGTTTA